TATGGAGCAGATAAGGAAATTGAGAAAGAGACTAAATGACTTTCTAAGGTTATAAATCAAGGTAAATAGTAGATTAAAAGTGAAGGCTATTTCCAGTCACTAACTTAACTTGCCAGGATTCTCTTCATATTTAATTAAATACTTAGGAATTCCATTATTTTTACTTTTACCCTCCAACATATGTTTAATAGATGTTTTAGAATTATACATAAGATCAAAGTTTTTATTTTTACAAGATTTTGTTGGCCTGTTTTCAAGGGTGGTTTTAGTTTTATGTTTGTTTTGCCTTAAATTAACTTTCTATAAATCTTTTCTAATTTAAATCAGGCCTAGCAAATTTGAATTCTTAAACATAAATGCCCATTCCTTAAGAGAATAACATTCATCTATTAATAAGGAAGATAAGTAAAGCTTATGACTCATGAACCCCAATCACACTCCCTAACTGGTGATAAATAGCCTTATTTGGCTGGTTCAGCCAGCTGGAGTATTTCAGGAGGGCAGAGTTTGGGAGTTTAGTCTCCAAGCATACTACCTTGGGTTTGAATGCCCGCTCCTCCTCTGATCAAACTGTGCACTCTTGAGCAAATTACTTCAAATGCTTACTCATTTGTAAAATGGGGGTGATAAGAGGGTTAGGGTAAGGAGTCAATAAAACCAATCTCTTGGTCTAAGGCCTCGCACATAATAAGCACCCTATAAACACTATTACTATTCACTAGCTGTTGGAGGGGAGGAACTATGAAGTAATCCCCTCTATCAACTAGTAAAATCTGTTCTGCTTCAGAATACCTCAAAGCTCTCCTGAGCTCTGTCATTTAATTCCAGGTAAGCCAGAGCTAGTAGGAATTTCCCAGATTCTTTGAAATCTCTTCTTTCTAGATAGTATTAATTTTTGTTCACTTTCTGAGTCCTATCTACCTTCCATGTTTATTTTATCATTTTATTTTTATTCTATATGATCACATCTGTATTTATCTTTTACCCTTCCACTGCCCTACACTGAATAATTAAATACTGAAAGGCGGAATTCCATTTCTAAGCTTATTTTAAACATCTAAGTACAGTTGTTTTATTTGTGCTCTTTTGCGCCTTTGAAGTCTTTCTCATTTTTTCTTTGAGTTTCTTTCATTCTTTGTATCTGTTATTCCTTTCAGTATTGTTCTACATGGATTCCATAGCTCAGTTGTAAGCAACAAATTGAATGCCCTGATGGTAACTACATGGGCAACTGCATGGCACTGAATAGGAGGGAGGCTCTGTCTACTCTTTTTCTGCCTTTCAATCCCCAATGATCCAGCGATATTTTCCAGTGCTCTTTTATATGTATAAATATATATGTATTAAATCNCAATGATCCAGCGATATTTTCCAGTGCTCTTTTATATGTATAAATATATATGTATTAAATCCCAGTGTCAGAAGACAAAGATGTAAGTAAAGCATCTCTACTACTATGGGGCTCAGAAGGCTTCCACAGTCAGAAAGGTCTGTTTCCAGATTCTACAATTTGTAAAAATTCCAAGTGAGACTGGCTACGAAACATACTACAATGGGCTGCCTAGGAGCTGAGAGCCCTGTAGACAAGAGCTTCAATTCTTTGGAGTCAGACATTTCTAGGAGTCTGGGCTCCACTACTTCTACCTGACCTTGGGCAAATATGTAACTTCTCTAGGCTTGTTGTGAAGATCAAATAACAAATCTCTTTAAAGGCCTTGGAACAGTACCTGGTGCAAAGCACATCATAACATGAACGTCACCCGTCATTCATCATCATTGTCACCCCCGCCATCACCACCACCATCACCTGGGGGCTTTCCCCAGTGTCACACCAACCTTATGCTGTGTTCATTTAAAAATACAAGTTCTAGAATAGTAATCATTTTGGAGTACAAATTAGTAAAGCTATTTTGGAGGGCAGTATTTGCCAGAAGGCTGTATCTACCAAAATTTTAAATGTGCCTTTTGACCCGCATGACCTCTTCTAATAATCTTTAAAAAAAAAAAAAAAAACTTACACACTTGGTGTTTGTGACACTTAAACAGTGAAAAGTCAAAAGTAGCCTAAATGTCTATCAGTGTCAAAGGTTGGATTCCCCAGGAAACAGATTCTGAGATGGAGATTGGGTACAGGAAATGTATCAGGGAGTGTCCCTCGAGTCGACATCTCTGGGGAAGTGAAGGAAGTAGGGCTGGGCAGAGGAAAGAAAACCTCAGTCAGTCCCACAGGGGATCTGCTGGGAGCAGGCATGACCTTGTCCTAGGCAAATCTCTGGCTGAAGGCAATTCCCAGAGACTGATTCAGCTCAGGGATATCAGCTGCCCGAATCTTTTAGAAGAAAAATGTATTTGTGTATCATAAAAAATTAATATGTGAGGAATATTAAAAAGAAAAAGTGAAAAAACTTTTTCATGTGTTTAATCAATTCTCACTATAATTTCTCACTAAACTTACCATAAAATGGGATGTCATTATAGTAGGATTATGCCTTTTTAGAAGAGTAATCGATTGGTCTAAAGCAGAACAACTTAAACAATGTAATTATATAGAACCAAAAAAAAAAGAACCCACAAGAAAAAAAAAATGGGTTTTTTTCACCTCCAGGCTATCTAATGCTTTCTGAAGGTGTCTGAAAATAAATATCAGTCACCCACATATAGACCATTTACTAGTTGTTCATGTCACCAGTTTTCGATTTATGACATCTTTTCAACTGTAAACTAAGAAAATACATACAGTGAATTGATGTCATCTTTAAATAGTATTACATAAAATCTTGATAGAATTTTTTTGTGTGTGTGTGACTGGTAAGGGGATCACAACCCTTGGCTCGGTGATGCCTGCACCGCGCTCAGCCAGTGAGCTCACCGGCCATCCCTATATAGGATCCGAACCCGCCGCGGGAGCGTTGGTGCGCTCCCAGCGCCGCACTCTCCCGAGTGCGCTGCGGGGGCGGCCCTTGATAGAATTTTTTAACTTTTAAAAAAGTCTTCCTGTGAGTTACCGGCATAATTCTTTGTGAAATGAAATGTTTTGTTTCCACATGAGAAAAATAAGCAAGTTCGTATTCTGAAAAATAATTAGTTACATAGCAAGAAAAAGTGGATTTACTGTCTAGATTTCATTTGCTTATCCTGCCAATTAATCTATCCTCTGTGTTCCTAATTCCCCTCCTAGCTCCCATCCCACACATACAATCGGTTACCAAATCGTGCTGATTTTACCTCCTCAGTGCTTTTCAGATCTATCTCCTCCTTTCTGTTTCTACTGTCCCTGTCCTAATTCAAGCCTTTTCCACTCTTGGCCCCCCACAATCCATTCTCTATGCAGCAGCCAGAGTGATTCTTCAAAAACGAACATCGCTGCCTCCCTTCCCTACTGCAAGTCCTGTAGTGGTTCTCTGAGACTTTTGGGTGAAGCCTGTAGTCTGGCCATCTTCTGAAATCACCTTCCACCCCAAGCCCATCTCCTTCCATTCCTCTATTTCATTCACCTACTACACAGAGATTCTTTCCTTTTGCAGAAGATATCTTAATGTTTCATTCTTGTAATCTTTCAAAATGCAGTTCTCTGTGTCTAGAACACTACCCGTACTACCCTTTCCATGGCCTGGCCAATGTCTCCTGGTGTTCAAGACTCATTTTACTTGTTTCCTCCTTGTAAAAGCCCTCTCTAACCCATGTATGATGTAGGTGTCCCTTGTCGGGATTCTTGTAGCATCCTGTGGATACTCCCATCGAGACACTCATCAGAACCAGACTATACCGCTGTCTGCCTAACTAAACCATAAGCCGTCCTTAAGGATAGAGACCAGACTTACTAACTTTGTATCATCAGTACTTTGCACATTGTTTCTGATATATGTTTGGTTCTTAATAAATTTAGGTGGATCAAATGAAAATATTAATTCAGTAAGCTGTTGAGAAATTGAGTACACGTGTCCTCTTTTGTCCTGTTCGCTTGTGTTTGGTTTTCATTAAAATCTATTTGCATCATGTAGATTTTTGTGTTCT